CGAACTATCCCTTTAATGTCAGGACTCATCCGTGTCTTTATGGACCTGCTTTGTGGAGCTGATGAAAAAGTAATGTTAGAGGTGGAAGGGCTGTCTCCAAAATCCGTTGATGCGCTGAAGCTTTCAGAGTTCCTAGGAGGCTTAGCCCAGTTCCTGTAATCTAACCCCACATCATAATTCCCCCTCCACCAAACTTTACTCTTACATGCAAAATACAGTCAAGTAAAGTGTTGTTCTCATGGCAATCAATAAAAAAATAAGATTCAAGGCAATAATGTGTGTAAAACATTTTGCCCCTCTTCCATGAAAAAGGAATCCAAAATAAAAAAATAAAAAGCTTAGGTAAAGAGGCTTACAGTTAGAACAACTTGCTCATTAAAGATGAGCTTAACTGAGGAAAAAAAAGCACAGCAAGTGCTCGGTTGCTGGAGCAAACACTGACCACTCTTGAACGGGTTTTGGACACGGCGATCTCCATCTCCTCTGCGCCGCTGCTGTCACTGGGTGAGCCAAATTTGATCTCCATGGGCTCCTCATCCTGCTGCTGACTCTTCAGGCTATTTGTTACTGTCTGGATCACCCGCATCCACTCCTCCCTGAGCCAAAAGAAAGCAGATGTTCACCTCATCAAATCTAATCCCATCTCTGAATTACTCAAAATGTTTTAACAAGGAATCTCTTTGAAATACAATAAATGGCTGATGAGATTTGCAGTTACTTACTAACTGCATTTTTATCTATAGATATGTGTTTTATTAAATGGTACAACCCAATAATCTGCTCTGAGGAAAGATGTGATCCATCAAGTGAAGTTTAGAGGATAATCTGAGTACTTTTCAGCAGGAAGCTTATGGGATTTGGTACTTGGCAGAGCTGATATTTACAAAACCCAAAGATGATTTCTTTGGTTGAAGTCAAATAATCAGGTCTGATTTGAACCTATATCCTATTCTAAACAAGATGGCTGTTTGTTTCTCATGATCTGCATGGCTTTCTCTTTAACAAAACAACTTTGGGCATACGTCTGTCTCATTTATTATTATCTTTACTTGTTTTCGAAAGGAAGTCAAAGCCATTGACAATCACACATCATAAAGATACTGCAGATGTACAATGACATTGTCAACATGTGGTTTACGTTCTCATACATGTGGTCTAGAAATGGCTATAGTTAATAACAGACTCTATAGTTAACATCCCAACAAATGCTTTACTGGGCTGACATTTCCTTCCTAAAATTATCTTTATATATCAATAATAACATGCATTTATTTAAGTTGTGCTTTAACATGTGACCCAACTGGTTTTGGTTTCTGTCCAGTGACTCATCAATAAAAAAATTGTTAATCTTGTTTGGTGCAGACAAACTCTTTCGAAGAGGACAAACAAAAATACACCCGTATTTTAGATGCTGAATAAATCATTAACAATGCAAAAATAAATACACTGATCCATAATTTTCTCTTTGGAATACTTTATCTATGAGGTGCGAATGCACACAGATTCCTTTTTTTATTGTGATTTGAATGTGAATGGTTAAAAAATCCCCCCTTTTTCTTTCACAGCTTGGTATCAGGATTAAACTGGTAATCCTCACCCCTACCCATCCCTCATGTAAAGTGGGTTTACATTTGATATATATATATATATATATATATATATATATATCTCAATGACACCACAAAAAGAAAAACCTTTACCTCTCCTCTCTGCTGTCCACATGGAAAGTCCGCTCAATAACCGAGGTCCACTGCAGACATCGAATAACAAACGTGTTGGGCCTGGGGCGCTCTGTCTTCATTATCTGGCATTCTACAGAACATGGACACATCAGCGCCACGGAAAGCACTCAAGATACAGCACAAAGCCAGCCGGATGCAAAATCTGACCTGCAACAGAGAAGTTGTTGAGCGGTGGGGGGCTGAGGTCACTGGACACGTCAGGCTTGTCTTTGTATCCGATAAAGGATCCATCGCTCTTCAGGATGAAGTACCGAGGACGCCATGTTTTGATGTATTCACCTGGGGGCAAAAACATTACAGATATTGCATCGGCGACTGACCACTTTCTGAAATGCTTCACAAATGCATAAGTATAAAAACATGGACAATTAAATTAAGTAAATTATTACACGTTCAGGATGGTCGAGATCTAGTAAGCCTTGGCATTTATTAAGTTGTTTGTGGTAACCATGATAAATTTCTAGTCATAACAATTTTGATTTAATGTCTAAAAAATAAATCATGATTAGTGATAAAAAAAAAAAAGATTATACATTTCCAATTGTATTTCTTATATTTTTTGTCTTTCAAATTTTTCCAGCAGAGTATTTTCAGATGCAAATAATGATTAAATGCTGTTACTACAGGATATTTAGGGATATAAATAATACTTCTTTACGTAACTGGTGTCCTGAAGAGGCCCATTTTAAATTTGCATATTTTTTTCTTGGTGTTTGTGATTGTGAGGCTATAATTGCTGAGGCACGCATTCACAGCAAGTTACCTAAAAACGACTCCAAAAAATCAAGGGTTCATATTGTCAACTTTATCATTATCACAATAGCACCACAAAATACTATTCATAAAGGTCATATCAACCATCTCTAGCTTTTAGTAAATAAAAGGCTAACTGAAAATTGTTATCACTTAGATACAGTTCCTACACATGATAACCATATCAAGGAAGTTGCACTTAAAAAACATGGAGCCAATGCAACATAAATGACTGCTAAATATGAGTTTTTAATTAATTTGTTGATTTCTTAAAGAATAATTTTATGATTCTATAAAGAAAATAGATACTAACAGTCTTTGATTATTTTAAAATAAGTCCTAATCGATCTGCTGGCTTTACTGTTTTAGTAGTGAAGCTTAACTAGCTTTGTTGGTTTATTAAAAAAAAAAAAAAAACAGAATCCACAATGAAAAAGAGCACGACGAATAGTTGACTGTTTTAACCCTGGACTCGAGTTTCTTGTTAAATTTCTCTTCTTGGAAATAATTAAAAACAATTGTTCCCTCTTTGGGTGGAGGTTTCTAAGCAGCAATATTGTTCACCTACGGCAGATTTTATAACCCACATGAATTCCAATCTACATATTACTGCTATATATATTCAAATATTTTATGGTGAACACAAAGGGACCCTTACCTCTCTTTTGGAGCCATCCTTCTTTAACAACAACGACGTCATTCATGCTGGGGCAGAAGACTGTTTGGGTAGGTAGGGGGCTGCAAGGGAGCTGATGAAAACTCTCTTATTGGGTAAATTCCTGATAGCAAATTAAGATGAGATGACTAATACCTAGAGAGCAGAGGGAAACAAATAAATAAATTTCTCTAGAATCTCATAGAGAAAGTATAAAAGCATTCAACACATTTTCCGGTTGTCATCTGACATGCAGTTATAGCAATAGAAATAAATAGATTATCACCATAAGGTAGAAAAGGCCTAACCACGAAACACAGCTACAGTTCATACTTTGACAGAAAGGAAAAGTAACAACTAAGATACAGAGCCTGAAGCAACTGAAACTACAACCTGTAAGACAAAAAAAAAAAAAAAAGGTTGGAGTCAAACTGAAAGCAAGATCTAAAGGCAGCATATTTCTTCTCACCCGTCTCTGAAAGTCATCCACATAGAAAACCTCTTAGAAAATAAATCACCTTCTCAGGCACTCTGGTGTCCTGAAATACTACTCCACAACACTGAAAACTGCTGAAATCTGCACACCCTCATCATAAACCAGTCGGGTTGATCATGCAAAGCTGCCTTTTGTAACCTTGAAGTCCTAACCTTTATGGTTTATCTAAAAAAATAATATTAAAGAAATAAAAAAAATGATAGATTTTTAATTTCAGTGGTGCCGTGTATAAATTATGATGTGATCCAAGTCTATGATCAAACAGTAAAGCAAAACTGTGTTTTTAATGCACCGGTTTCCCCCTTTAAATTTGGTTAAATGTTGGTGGAAAGCCCTGAAACCAGGGTCAGCTCAGAATCAACAGCTTATCTTAGATAACAGGTTAAAAGGGAAATTCAGGGAATGCCAGTGAAAACTATTCCCTTTTTTCCCAGCTAATAACATCAATTGATTTACTGATATAAAAGATAAGAAAAGACACCAAAATGATTTAAGCCTGCCTAATAAGAATATGCTAGAAACACTGCTTCAAATTCAATTAAAGACAATAAAAATCTAAAAACTATATTTACATTTCTCACGAGGACCAAAAACATCTGTGGTGAAATCTAAAGCTGAAAAATCCACATCAAGTAAATATTAAATTGTTATTTTATTTTTTAGTAAGGAAAAAAGTTATAAAGTGATATTAAAAACAATTATTAAACTAAACTAAAAGCCATATTGAATAGGCAGGTCTTTAGTTTTCTTTTAACAGACGCAAAGGCTGTTTGAACTGCTTTGTTTACCAAGATAAAACAGATAAGGCTTCTCTCGACTTCAGACCTTTTATTGCTCCCCATAGTTAACCAGGCTGTGAGAGCACAAAGTAGTACTAGGTAATTGCTCTGTGGGATAATAAATAGGAAGGACAACCTTTAACTGTAAACAGGTTTGTCCTCACACACAAAAAAAACATGAACCATGTAAACAAGTAGAGTTTACTCAGTTTCCATATTTTTTTGCTGTTTGTAAAAAGAAAAAAAAACACAGGAGAACAAAATGCATCAAACTGATACATAGGTGCAGCAAATGATGCGTTAATTACCGTGTGAAAACAACCTTTATAACACACCGCGTACATTACCACAGGCAGCCTACTGTAATACAGTAACGTAAACACAGCCACATCGTTAGAGGGTGGTAGCTAGCTAACACACAGCCGACTAAACTTTCAGGTTTCTTGTCTTATTATGATTGAAAGTGTACGAAAAACCCTTAAACATAGTGCAAAGCAATATAAGAGAAAGCCAGAAGCGAGGACATTGACCATGAGCGCATTAAGTCCAAAACAAGGCAGTTAGCCAAAACATATCTTCAAGCTAACGGCTAGTTAGCATGTCAGTTAGCCACCTGCGCTAGTTCTCATTAGTATCTACACTCTTACCTCGACTTCGGAGGTAAAGATAGATAAATATATCCTCAACCGTGGCTTGCAGAAGAACCTCTGAGCTGTTTCACGAGGCGCCGACGAGTTACCGCTGGGTGGCTGTGTGTAGTGAACTCTGTCAATGATCACACAGCTTTAGCGCACTGCTCACCGAGCTTGTTTTCTTCTCTCGCAGCGGCGGAGAGGCAGGAGCGGCGGCGGCGTGCTCGGTCAGAAGCAGCGGCACTCTTTCACGGAAGCACACACGGTGGAGAAGAAAGTCCACTTAAGTGGAAATAGAGTACGCCGAGGATGACCGAACTGAGTTAGGGACTCCGAAAAAAAATAAAACATAAAAGAAAGGCGCGTTTATTTCTGGTTTTAATGCGGTTAGTCGCTTGCTTAGCATGGAAGCCCTCCGCCTGTGTCACTACAGCAGCCCTGCAGACTCACACAATGGGAAGTGACGTCCAGCAGGCAGAGGGTCCACTGTACCTGAACGGTCGGTGTGAAAGTACACCACGTTCTGCAATGTGACCTTAACCCTGGGCACTCAGTGCAGGGCTGGAGAATACCTGATATGGGCTACACAAAAAATGAACAGAAAAGTTGACAATATGTCATATTTAATATGTCCTATCAATTCTTTTCCTCTTAATGCACACTGAAAGTCTCATAAATAAACTGCAAGACAAAGGCAATTTATTATTATTTTTTTATTTTAAAAAAGCATTTATTAAAAACCAAATGCAAACATCTAAAATTGACAATTTCGGCTTAGTGTCAAAGAGCTTTCCTTTGCTCTCTCTGCTGCTTCCTTTGCAGGTAGCGGGCTCGAGCATCACTGACGCTGTCTTCAGTGTTGCGTTTCTCAAGCTTCTTCATCACATCTTCAGCAGAAGCCTCTGAGGAACGACATAATAATGGAGTATTACGCAAACTGAAGCACTTTAATTGCTCACATTTATTCAGACAAATAGAAGTTCCTGAAACAAGATTTCAGTTGAGCAGATCTCTAATGGGTGCACCTGCTTTGACCAACACAAACACCTGCTTTGACCAACACAAACTGTACAACTGTTGTTGAACTGTAAAGTGCCTTGATATGACATGTGTTGTGAATTTGGCGCTATATAAATGAACTGAATTGAATTGAATTGAATACAACAACAAACCTCGTTGGGTACCTTGATGTTATCTAGTTTTCTTAGAGAGGGCCCTCTAAGAAAACTAGATAACATCAAGGTACCCAACAAGGGAGCCCTGCAGATGACAGTGAGGGGAGCTAAACAACTGACTACCGCAAGTCTTCAACAGGGGGTCCGCGACCCCTAGGGGGTCCAAAGCGGTACTGCATGGGGGTCTCGAAAGTTTGGGTTGATTACTTTTTTTATATATTCCCTTCTGCAATTTTTTCCACTAATTGAAATGTTTTTAAATACACCTTAACATGAATTCAACACACTGTAGTAAACAGATAAATGGAGGCAGAAGATTATTCAGCGACACACAGGAGCTCTTTCAACCTGGGCACCGTTTCATTCACAACACGTGTTCCATCAACCAGGAATCAGAAATACTTTAATAATCCCAGGACGAAATTACTTTCGTTACATTTCTCCATCTGTAATGGAGTGACTATAGGACCAGTTTGATATAAAACAATTTCATACAATATATAAAATCAGGGGGTCCCCATTCCATCTCGCCATCAGTTTGGGGGTCTTTGGCCTGGAAAACATTGAAGACCCCCTGTTCTAAGAAATAATCATTTTGAATTGTTGGTGTCAGATGAACAGTACTAATATATGTAAAGCCAAACCAAGAAGCTGATAACACACCTTACTGCTTTGAATTGGTAAAATCTGTTTGTTCTTTAAGAACGTTTCATCTGCTCTGGATTTATGCATCTTTTTTTTTTGTGTTTTTTTTTTTTTTTTTTTTTTTTAAATGTGTTGTGGATCCGAGAAACAAACAAATGCCCTCTTGCTTTCCATTTATAACACTGCATGAAAAGAAAATTGATCTTTACAACACACAGAATCCACAATAAAATGCTTGCTTTTAGAGCTGAATATGGCCCCGAAAACTTTGAGGGGAAAAAATACAATACTGCAGAATATTTTTATATTAGCATGACCTAATTGAAATCAAAAAGTAAAATATTCTACTCTTCATTTCTAATCCCATTTAACTCAACCAGAGATTATAAAAATAACAGGGAAAAGCTTTTGAAACATATTTCTATGAACACCTTGTTGTCTTTTGGCTGCTTCCTTGCTCTCCCATTTCACCATCTCGTCTTCCGTAACTTCTTGTCTTGCCACACTGCTCAGCTCATACACATCCACCTCATGGAGTTTAGGTAACAAATCCTTAACCCACTCGTAGCGAATAGGACAGACTGTCCTGATGTATGTCTTTGAGGTCACCAGCACATCATGGAAAATGACCCAGTTCAGCTCAGCTTCCTGCTCAAACAACTTTAAAAAATGCATAGAAAGACACTGTTCTTTTGTTTGTTTTAAATATATATGTGAAATATAAAATAAGAGAATAGAATTGCTTACTGATGATGACGGATGGACATGAACCATTGATCCATGGCCATCCATTGTGCAAAACACTTTTCCAACGGACCTAATGAGGAAAAATAAATAAAGCTCCAAACTAAATCTGAACAATAGGTAACACTGTCCCAGCATGTAATTGTATTGGTGATACCTTCTGGCAACATTGGTGAAGTATCCTGAGCACAGGCATCGTCTCAAGAGTTCACTTTTATTCCCATCAAAACTTTCAGTGGGGAAATCTCTCCTCTGAAAGACAAGAGTGGCAAACCAGAGAAAAAGAATTACACCTCACAGGAATTTAAACACATGAACTGTGTTTTTAATTTTATTTTATTATTACTACTGCAGCAGTTAGACAAATTAAGAGTTCATAGTGATTAAAAAAGAGAAATATAAACCCGGGTATAATGGTTTACAATTTTGATGAAACCAATACAAACAATCTGTTATCACATGGAATAAGAGCAACACCTTTCTCATTCTATTACTATTATTATTGTATTTTTAAAAAGAAGAAAAGCATATTTTGAACTGAGAGAAACAGAATTTGGCTACAACCGAGGCCCAACATAAGCATTAATGCATCCTATAATCTCTGAGGTATCTAGTTCCTCCTTTTTCCTGTTGAATTAAAAAGGGATGACATCCAGAGAGCTTGTCACATTTGCCCTGCTCTGTTTTTAGACTTTTTTTTTTTTTTTTTACTGTGAAATATTCATTAGGCAGCATGCTTCGGTAAGTGACCTGGACCTTGTACCTGCTGGAGGCGCAGAAGGATCTCTCTCAGCTGAGTCTCCACACTAAAAGCCGACTTCAGCGCCCTCCAATGGATCCAGTTCTCTTTGCACCAGGCTGAAGGCCTGTCACTGCAGAGTGGGGGGAAGCAGGGGGGGTATTTTAACATAGTGGGGTATTTTAGTTTTAAAGCACTTTGCAATGTCTTTTCCTTACCTGGATTTGCAGGAGTTAAACACACAAAGAAGAGTGGCGAAATCATTGATGCTGCCTGTTTTTTCCGCCAGTGCTCGGTGCTTCTTAGCTGCCTCTTTCTGTTTGTCGGGGTGACCTACAGAGAACCATAAAAGAAAAATCCCATGACTTTATTTCACACCTCTTGATACTTCAGCACAGATTTTCCAAAGGCAGTGGCGTGCACTCGGTAAATGTGCTTCTAATGTTCTCCAAGTTACACTTCTACGTTAAAACAAAAGCAGCAGACCAGGCCTGATGAAGATGTTCTCCACAGACAGCATGGCGGCTACAGGGAGGAGCAGGTCCTGGCAGCCCAGGGACGCAGATTTGAGCAGAGCCCTGGTGAGACCCGGGTGCAGGGGGAATTCCACCATCAGCTCCCCAAGCTTGGTTACTTTACCTCTCCTGTATCAGAAAGATAATTGCTCACATGAGGTACGGCAGATTTTCAGATGTAGTTGTCTGGAGAACCAGAAGATGGATGTTAATGCTCACCTGTCTATTGCATCAAACTGGTACAGTTGCTTTAATGCCTCGAGAATAAACCTTTCCTCTGGACAGTCCAGATAAGGAAACCTGGACGAAATAATAATTTTCTGTTGAATAATTTATCAACCCAACGTGAAAATCTAACAAAGAATCAAACAGCGTACCTGATGACATCATGAACCCCAAGGCACTTAAGGGTGAGGATCACAGCAGTCAGACTTGTCCTTTGAATCTCAGGAATTGTATATTCAGGCATGCACTTCTCCCAGAATTCCTTGGTATAGATCCGAAAGCACTTTCCGGCAGAGGTTCTCCCAGCTCGGCCTGCTCTCTGCTGAGCCTCGCTCCTGATCAGAGGAGATCCACCCAGGATCCAACTTAATCCCAGTCCATACACATTTATTTCAAGGAAAGGTTTACTTTCCGAACTCACTTTGAGATTGGCACCACCTCCAACACGTCCATGCCCACCCTGGAGTTGTGATTGAGCTGCTTTACGAAGCCGCTGTCAACGATGTACCTACATGGAAAAAAGAAAAGAAATAATGAAATCCGTTCGATTCAAACAAACCCTATTCGCTTCGTCTTATAAAAGACCCACCAGCCAAGCTTTCACTGAGCCGGTAGATAGAGAGCAAATATGTCAGTGGTGCTCCTGCCTGTTAACAGTGGGTCAGCATTTACTTTTAGGCCAAATAACAATGGTTTAAAAGACATCCTGAGGTTTTAAAATTAACCTTAACCCAAGCAGTAAGAGAATAGACTAGTCTGAGGGTGGAAGACCAGCCAAACACATTGGTCAGCAGACCAATGTGTAAGCTTTTAGAGGACCTGTTTCCTGCAAGTAAATGATTAAATAATGCTTTCAGCACTATATGGCATTAATTTGTTATGAAATATTGTTTCCTTCCAGCCCCAAAGAGAAACACTTAAGTGAAAGGTGAAGGCGCCTCTCCCTGTCTGGGCGCTCCCCATTTCATGACATTGCTGTATCACAACACTTTAAACTGGGGTCATTTTCACAACTTAAGGCCAAAACACAGGTTGAGTGCGACTATTTTAATCTCCGATCAGATTTTTTTCCCATGTCACACACATAGCCTAGAAAGGCAGCACGGGCATATCTGCTTTTTTTTATTTCTGTGCTATACAAAAATGAAAATAATTTCCCACATTTAACTTGGACATATTATGAAAAGTCATAAAAAGACAAATTAACAGATTTTATTTTGTATTTTCCCACTAAGCGGATGTGTTTTACTTTGTAAAGGCGTCTCTCTTCCTGTCAGATCCATGAAATTTCCGCTGAATTGCTGCGTGGTCTGCCTAAAATAGAGCTGGGGTCTATCTCAGTTGGACCTACTCAAGCCCCCTTGATTAAAATCGTGTCGGGTCGGATCATACCCTTTGACGTTAAATGAACGCCAACTGCCACAACCTCATCCGACACGATTTCCTGTCAGATCAGACTCAAAATCGATGTCTTCTTGCCTTCAGACAATAGCTAAAAAATAAAGTTTCTGCTCTGTGAAAATGAGCTGCTAAAGAGCCACTTCATCATCATTTCACTCTATCTCACCCTCCCAGATCAAAGAAAGTAGACATTAACTGTGCCGGCACAGATGGGTTAAGGTAGGTGCTTCCTGAAGGGAATTTGAAGTAGCAATCAGAAGGCAGAGAATGGATGCTACTCAGACAGCTCATCAGGATTAGTCAGAGAAACATGCATCAAGCAAAAAAAAAAAAAAAAAAAACACTTTGTACAAGATTTGGATGAGGGAAATGCATTAGAAAATAGTTAAAAGCTACAAATTATATATTTTTTGGAAGATGTAGGCTATTTAACAACAATGGAGGTTACAAGCTAAAATTTATCAGCGTGTGAATCAAGGTAAAGATCCTATAGTTAATCATTCTTTTTATTGTGGATCCTGTCATTGTAGAGATCAACACACATCTGCCTTAATTTAGCGCCATGTTTTTGTCTTTCTTAATTTAAAGAATAGTTAAAAAGCCTTAGTTCGCCCATTTCAGAAAAGGGGATTGTTAAGCTTTCCAATGTTGGTATTCATATCTGTAAAGGCACAACTACTTGTTTTTCTCGCACAACTCAGATTTTCAAATTAAACATCTTGTTTTTTTACTGTATGATCAGGCAATAAAAGATAAATCATCTAAATGATTTCCACACATTTTTACCTGGCAAGTTCATCTGAGGCAGTTCAAAGGCTGGCTCGAAACAAGATTATTAGATTACAGACAACTAAGGATGTCCTAACAGTGGATGGGGTAAAGGTAAAGATCTAGGATGAAAACTGATGTAATTCTATATCAAACTAAATGTCTCATAACTGAAAAATTTGCCGCAAAAAGATGTTTAAAAAGGTAAAAGAGTTGACTGATATTTTATAAGAACCTAAAGTGTAATTTTTTGGTGAACTACCATTTAAACAAGCTTGACTTACTTAATCCCATTGATGGTGAGGGATGTTGCTGCGATGTTTGTGGCTACCACACACTTTCTGATTCCAGGAGGCGGTGGCTGGAAGATCTGCCTCTGCTGATCTGGAATAAAAAAACAAAATCAGGATCTTTAGATCACATTGGCGTCCTTTAAATACCGACAATCTACAGATTTTAATGACGGGTTATACCAGTGGGCATCGATCCATAGAGGGGTAAAATGAGAAGGCCCTCCACTGTCCGGTCCTGCACATCATAGCGATAGTCTATGTTTTCAGCTTTTTCAAACAACAAGTCACAGGCATGCTCGATTTCTGACTGGCCTGCAGAACACAGAGGAGTTTATGAGCAGAAAAACATTACCGTCACATACTTCAGCTTATGTTATTGAAATTAAGTGTCATATAATTGTGAGGTGGAAAAAAACCCCAAGCAGGTTTAATCAAAGCCTATAAAATGTTGCAATAATATTCAGTCTCCATGTGAACTCTGTAGCCTTTATTATTGCGTGTATGTCATGGTTGCCTGTTTTTTTTTGCATCTGCACACTGACATTAAAGTTCATCCAGTGACAAAATGGCTTTAACTCAAATACATCTAATTTTTCCCCAAGATTTACTCTCCTAAATGCAGAGGTGTCAAGTAACAAAGTACAGATACTTTGTTACTGTACTTAAGTACACTTTTTAGGTATTTATGCTTTACTCCATCACTTATTTTTCTTCCTATTTCTGACTTCTACTCATTACATTTTCACACAAGTATCTGTACTTTCCTTTCCTTACATTTTTAAAACAAAAGTTACTTGTTACTCTTGGCTTCGGTTAAATTTTTATAAATATTTATTTCACGTCATGTGCGCCATCCAATGCAGATCATTGACGCCATCCACATCTAGTGAAAACTAGTGTAATTAGATGAGTCATATATCGTAAACAATTCAAACTGTAAACGTGAATTGTCAATGCCATGCTACAATATCGGATTCAGAAAAAGATGTTGAAATGTCTGCAAGGTCGGACACAGGCGAGAGAGTATGGGGAGATGGAGGAGGAGACCAACAAGACCTCCCTCATCCTTGGCCCTATCTCAAAGAATTTTTCGAAATAGTCGAAACATTGAGCTTTCAACTCATAAAGGGGCATCTGGCTGTTTTTTTAAAAGGTTACTTTATACTTTAAGTAGTTTTTGGAGCACATACTTTTCACTTTCACTTGTGTAAAGAGGTCAAGTAGATACTTCAACTCTAACCAGAGTGTTTTTAAACTGCAGTATCTATAATTCTACTTAAGTAACATATGTGTGTACTTTTGACACCACTGCCTAAATGTGGTGTCAAAGAGTTAAGTTGCATGTTCCAAGAGTTAAGTTGGATTTAGGTCAAGATTTTGTCTTTAGGTTAGCTGATCTGCTGGAAGACAGCCCTAGACCCCCGTCACAAGAGATTTAATTCTTTAAGTGTATTTGTTTTTTTTCATCCAAGGAATGTCTAGTATTTAGCTCCACCCATAGTCCAAGAAAGTCCTGCCCACAGCAAAATGGTGCCGTCATATTTGAGACATTGGTGTGCTTTGTATTAGCAAGTCAAAAAAAAAAAAAAGTAACTTTGGCCTCATCTAATGTGATTACCTTGTTCCATATTTTTGGTGTGCCCCGTGAATTGCACACAGCAGAAGGAAAATTGTCAATTCTTTACATTCTTCTATAAAGGAAATACATTTTTGAAGAGCCCAACTCATAGTTCCTGTTAAAGATTTTTCCACATAATCTGTGGATCCTGCAGCTTCTCCAGCGGTCCTTTCAATGCTTCTCTGGTTACTGTTCTCCTTTCATAGCATATAGATATTTTAAAGTTTGTTGTTGAAAGCATGAACACCTTTGCAAGTCTAAAATGAATGGCAACTATCACTACTTGCCTGTTAGAAACACCAGAATATCACCGGCTTTTTCACTGATGTGCACATCCAGCGCCACTTTTACCACCTGTGAAGCAGATAGTCAAATAGAATAAAAAGAAATTATAAAAAAAGGAGGAACAAACAGAAACCAAACGTGAATGAGTCAACATACCTCTTTGACATAAAAGTTCCTTTCAACATCTTTTGGCCCTACAGCCGAGCCGAATGTGCACGTCACAGGGAACACCCTACCAGGAATTTCAAAGACCGGACAGTTGTTGAAAAAAGCTGAAAGTTTATCACTTTCTAAAGTGGCGGACATTACCACCACTTTAAGGGGAAATGATCGTCTCTTAGCGGCTTCAGCAGGGTCAGAGAAAACGTTCTTTAGTAAACCCAGAAGGATGTCCTGCAGTGAGAAAAACAATAGGGGGGCGGGGTTCAAGCACAGCTCTGCAGCTCCTGTATCGCTCCTACAGAGTACTATAAACTTACAGTGTTCAAGCTGCGTTCATGGACTTCATCTAGAATCACCACACTGTACTGAGAAAGTGAGGGATCTGCTAAGACTTCTCGGAGCAAACATCCATCTGTCATGTACTTCACTGCCGTTTCCTGCAACAGACAGGTTTTATTATCATTCCCAACCAAAATTATTGTAGACTTTATTTTTTTTTTTTTATGTAGGACAATACTAATAACTCACCTGAGAAGTGCAGTCATCAAACCGCACCTGGTATCCCACCTCTCTACCCAGAGTGCACTTCATCTCCTGAGCGACCCTCTGAGCTACAGTGATGGCAGCCACACGGCGAGGCTGGGTGATGCCAATTTTTCCATTCTTACAAAAACCTACCCGTACAGAGAAGGTAAAAAACATTATTTAAAAAACTTCTTAGTTTACCACATAAAAATGAGTGGATCAAAACAAATGAGTTGTAAGAGAAGAGCAGCCAAAAAAAAGCTATCAGTACGACAACAGTAGGGATACACAGATATCCAGCTGATATTTTAGGCTGATAGTATTTTGTTTTTTTCTTGTTACAGTACCAACAAGAAAAAGAACGTGCAAACACTGGGAAATTCATTAGTGCAATGACTTAACATCACATGATGCACATATATTGGCTTTTCCCTCCTCTTTGATATCTATTGTTCATTTTTTTGCTTAAGTGTTTTTTTTTTCTTGGAGACGTGTAATATTTGTTCTAATTCTTCAATTTTTATTGTGTTGGCTGCACATATCAGGAAACTGTTAGATAGATCTTTAAACCACAGTTTATAACACTTGAGTTGTTATACTACATAGAGACTTTGAGAAAGGTCAAAAATACCCTCACATCACTGAGTGTTATACCATTTAAAGTCCCAATTATATCAAAAATGTTGTTTGCAGCAAACCTGGTGTTTATCCTTAGACTCAATTGTATTTATACCTTGGGATTAGTCCTTCAGGAAAATTCTGGTTCCAGTAGCTTATATAGAGTAGAAAGTGTTAAAGATAGATGCCATTAAAGATAAAAGTACAACAGACAATATAAAAAGAGTATATATAGTACAAAAAGACATAAAAAAGAAAAAAGTTGCAATGTCCTGGAATATGTTTCCCTTGGATATAAAAATAGCTGCACAGTAGAGAGCTAAGGGAAGACTACAAGGTAGTTGACTTGGATTATTGCACTTGTACTGCAGAGATGTACTGACTTTATAAAATACGTAAAAAATTACACAAGCTACACAGTAGTTGGCATGTTATGTGCAAGTGTATTAAATGATTAGAAAAGGAGAGTTATCCAGGGCTGATATCTGACATGTACTTGTCTATCAGGGTTGTCTAAGCAGGACTCATGATGCAAAAGGTTGTTATTTAGATCGGCATTGTATTCTTATTTAAACCCATTTTACTTTATCAAATCCAAGACAAGTTTTAAGGGACTGAGATCTGCTGATGGTGACTTCATCGTGTTAGTCTGAGATTGATTGAGCTTTGTGATGTCATTTATCCTGCTCCATGTAGCCAGACACCAAAATCCCCGCACCACTATTACCTGAATGTTGCTAACATAACAGTAGCAAGTAAGAACAATACTTTATAAGATTGGTGAACCGGTGAAAATTTGATCCTGTTTCCTGGTCTTTGTTGCAAACTACATCTAATGTATTAAATTGCAGCAATGTGATTGGCTGATTTCAGACTTTAGGTTAGGGGTCTTCAAGGTTTCCAGGCCCTAGGACCCCCAAACTGATGGAGAGATGAAGCGGGGCCCCCTCATTATATATATTATATGAAATTGTGTTATATCAAACTGGTCCTATAGTCACTATTACATGTGGATGTCTGATTGAACGAAAGTAATGTGGCCCCGGGATTATTAAAGTACTTTCGATTCTGATTCCTGGTTGATGGGACAGATGTTGTGAATGAAACGGTGCCCAGCATGAAAGAGCTCCTGTGAGTCGTTGATTGTGTGCATTGATGACTGAAATACATCTTCTGCCTCCATTTATCTGTTTACTATAGTGTGCTGAATTCATGTTAATATGTATTTAAAGACATTTCAATTAGTGGAAAAAATTGCAGAGGGGAAAAAAATAAAAAAGTCTAATTAACCCAAACTTTCTCGACCACCATGCAGTACCTCTGTGGACCCCATAGGGGTCGCGGACCCCCTGTTGAAGACCTACGCATTAGGTAAACTTCCCAGTTGTTTCTTAGAAAGTAGTTGAGAGTAAACTACTCCTCACGTTTCTATTATTTGAAATTTTCTACTTCTGCCATTCATTGCTTACATATGCTGTTTCATCATTTAGTTTAAGAGGATCTCTAGACCACGTACTCTTTACCTTCAGTTGGACCCCAATCCTAACATTGGGAACTGGTGTGAGACTTTAATTGTTAAATATAAGTCCGAAATAAACCGAGTTTAAATTTTCAGCATCTTACCTGCCTCATGCAGGTACTGTGGAAGCTGTGTGGTTTTCCCGCTTCCAGTCTCACCGGTGACTATGAGGAAGGGGCTTTTTCTGACCGCCTGAACCAGCTTGTTTTTATGCTGATAGATTGGCAAATGCTTCGGCTCGCTGTCTTTTACCGCGAGCCGCGTTGGTTTGGACATGGCCGACAGCTTTTACAAGCGAGTAACAGAGAAAGAGAGAAGTATTGACCTCAAACTGCAGAACCTAGCTTTAGTTTGTACAAAAACAAAATCCGACAGTGTCTGAATTTTAGGAAACAGTCGTTGAAAAGACGACAGGCGACATGATTCCTGGTTAACTTCCGTACACCAACCTGTTCTCCAATCCTATTGGCTCCTTTGGGACCTCGTGACATGGAAGTACCCACCAAAATAAAAGACTTAAAACGTTTTGAAAATTATCCAATTAAAGCACGCCTGAAGTTATGCTATTAACCAATAATTAACAAACTGGGTTATATTTTTAAGAGAAGTTACCATACAGTTCTTTGGTGCTGCACAATGGCAGCCCACTGCTCCTCAAGGGGATGGGTTACATGAAGAGGTAAATTTCTCCAATGTGAGATCAATAAAGTTCAATTATTATTGTAAAAGTCACTCCAAACAGATATCTGATGAGGGTACCAGGTGTCCAAAAGTGACTGGCAGGTTTGCAGTACAGAAGGTGTACAAAAGAATGAAAGACAAAAAGAAAAGAGCACTAAGTTGGAGGGCTGTAAGCCACTGTGACCATGCAGATCGGCATCTTTAAAAATAAAAACTAATCTAAACCAAACCGTTACCTCTCTGGCTGTATGTTTAGGGTCTTATTCATCTTTTTTTCCCCCTTTTTGCTAAAAGTTGAGCTTTCACACTTTTATAAGCCTAACTTTATTATTTATATTATTTTCTATTTTTTTAAAGGATCACCCTATATACCAGCCATCATGTTACATCTCATGTCACCCTTACCGTCCCTGCTATTAAAAAAAAAATGCATCCCCACACCGTGATGCTGCTACCACTTCTTACTGTATTTTTTAAAGCTCTGTAAGGTGTGTTTTTTATGCTACAAAAGTTCAAGTTTCCCTACGGACTGAAGCATCTCCTTCCACATCTTTGCAGAAACTATTTGTTGTAAGCTTCAACATTTCTTTTTTAATACCCATTCACAAAAGCAGATTCGTGGAATGCATAGCTATCTCTCCAACAAATTCTCACTCCTGTGGATCTTCATGGAGGTTCATATGAGCCTTCTGGCTCCTGCCGTTATTACTGTCCTTACCTTCCCTTTTTTTATACACATTTTAATCATACCTGTTTCCATGATCTGTAAATAATCCATCAACATTAAAGCTTTTTCTAACCATTAAAAAAAGGTATATATTTGTTAGGGGAAAAAATGTCAGATGGTTTTCTCAGAAAAAAAAGGTGCTTTTTTATTTTCAGTTCAAAACAGTGACTGAAGCTTGGCAAATAAATATGACTGGAACTTGTTTTTGTGCTTTTCAATGAATATTTACAGCTGATACAGAAGAGGTCCACCTGAAATGACACTAGGAAAGTCTTTCTGTGTTACTCCTGTAATTGATGAGACTCTTTTCTGTTTAAGCTTTCCTACAACACAGAAGACCAGTCTGTTTGTAGGTACAACTGATCTGGATACCAAAAGAGAAAAGTGATTTTTCCAGATATAGATTTAAAGGTGTTTTTTTTTTTTTCTGCTTACCTGCTTACAAACCATTTGTGAAAGGAGGGATTTGCCATTTCCTCCACAGAGAAGGGCAAAGTTTGTTTTTGTGCTTTTCAATGAATAACGGTTCCTGCTAACAGTCTAGAAAGTCTTTCCACAGCAGTCGTTCACCTTCTCACACACTGATGTTGGCAAGCTACACTGTAGCCACAACTGCTCTGGGGCACACTGACATTAGTGAGGCTGCTGTGTTTAGACACCCCCAGGCCTTTTAGAATAGAATTGAATAGAATAGAAAATCACTTTATTGTCCCACAATGGGGAAATTCTAGTGTTTACAGCAGCAACAAGATTTTAGAAAAAAATGGTCACACAAACCTGGACCTTAGAAAAGTGTATAAGAAATTAAACCAGCATATTATTTAACTGAATAAGGTGCAAAATCTGTGCAAAATCAGCATGAATTTAACAACTCATTGAGGTTTTTGGGAACAGTGGTGGTTATAGAGTATTACAGCTGCTGGGAGGAAGGATCTGAGATACACTTGCTGGTGTATTTAGGGTGCAGCAGTCTGTCACTGAAGGTGCTCTCCAGTTGTGCAACAGCTTCATGCATGGGCTGGGAAACATTATTAAACAGAGATTTTAATTTAGTTAGGATCCTTTTGTTTCATATCTCCTGCACTGGGTCCAGAGGGCATCTATTTACTACAATCAGTGTTTGTTGGGCTATTCTATTCTGTATGTAAATTACTTTAGAAAGACAAAGAAAAAAAATGTTTTGTAAATGTTAAAAAAAACTTGTTGAACTACGGTAATTGTCATTTTGAAGTATCCAAATGTATGCTCCACTTTTCAGCACAATACAGTCACTTTATGTGTGCAGTGATAAGAAAAACAAAAAACACATCAACAGCAGAACCAACTGCATCAACCTGGAGTTATCTGGATTTATTTTGTTGAACGAGATTAAGATAAGGTACAGAACTTTATGAGATATAACATAAACACTTTTACACTGAGGCCTAATTAAAGCCTTGGACCAGCTGTCTTATACATAAAAAATATGAAACCAGTCTTTTCTAAACCGTAGCATCATCTGAAACTTTGACCTTTGGCAAACCTCATTCCAGTCCTTAGTTTCCCCCGTGCTGTTCAGTGCTGATGGGTAATATGATTTGCTTTACTGAACTATAATATTCAGCTGAGTCATTTTAGTCCGAGCAAAACTACATCGCTCAGTCAGGCTAAAAGGCAAGAACAAGAAAACAGGAATTAACTAAAAGTTACAAAATAACCTTAAACTGTTGTTTCTTTCCCCTACTTACTTGAATGGAGTGTCACGAAATATGGCTCCTTTCTTTAAATGTTTACCCTTGACGATGACTAAGTAAATGATAATCCCATCTGCTCTCTGTAAGACAACCCCCCCTTAAAAACCCTTGAAATTGTTGTTAAACGATGGAAGGAGATGTATTTCTTACCAAAGAAAGGGTTCAACAATCTGTAAATGGAAATGTTACAGAGTCAGTGGATCTTTTGTGTGGCAAACATTTCTGATCATGGTCTGAAATCCTGACGGTATCCAGGTTTCGAGGTGGAACTGTAGCATTCCTAGGAATGATGAGGTTAAATCCCCTTTTTGGTGCAGAAACCCTCCCTTGACTCGTATGGAATGTGATTTGTGTTTGGTTCTACAGAGAGGATGTCATCAGTAAACAGAAACACTGAATAAAAAAAAAAAAAAAAAAAACATTGCTTCAGCTTTTTTTTGTTTTTATTTGACAACCATTGGATAAAAGTTTTTTCTTTTTTATATCTTGCTTATATTGTCAATATTGTACTCGATAACCTTATGATTTTTTTTCCTTTTAGTTATGATTTAACTGTATGGCACTTTGGTTTCCTTGTGATTTTAAAGCATTTTCATAAACAAAATACATGATAATGTCATCTTGTTTTGTAAAAGAAATGTAGTGTAGAAATAATCATCTGAAAAGTAAGTTCCTTTATGTTAAACCTTTTGGCCCCATAGTGCCTATGAAGAGAAATATTCAAGTTTTGCAATAGATTTGGATTCGATCTCGTAGTATGCTTTGATTTAAACCATTCCAGTCCAATTCTGGTTGTATTTCATACACGCAAATTGTATTTCATACACGCAAATTGTTTCCCATTTGGAGTTTATCATGAGATAAACAGTCTAAATATGCATTACCTCTCTCTCTCTCTCTCTCTCTCTCTCTCTATATATATATATATATATATATATATATATATATATATATACACCTCGGTCCAGAAAAGTGCAGTTCTAGGAACAGCAAAGTATTGACAATGTTTTGGGGAGGCTTCAGCCCCCTCAAAATAGTCCAAAATACATCCACGAGCCCCACTTTGGCTGTAAAACTGTTCTCCATGAGGTATTTAGAGTTCAGGATAGCAACTCTGCTTAAACAACACTGTATTCCTTGATCTGTGGGCTGTGTTTTTTGGTCTTTATGATGCTGCTTGTTCATAAGTGATATCTAAAACGTTTCTTGGGCGAAAAGCTGAGATCAAATGACATGCTTACCGCCCCATTTTTGTTTTTTAATCTAACTTCTCAGAGGAGCAGATTGCAGTTTATTTTAGGGTGAGATAAAGTGGGGTATATCCATATGCACGACCCTTAAAACAAAAAAAAATCCTCATTAGCCTACCTTTACAATTAGGTGTTGTTTTGCATCAGTTTCTGTGTTAAAATGCACAATTTCAATAAATGGAGTGGTTTTAAAGTAGAAAAATGTGAGTAGGTTAATGGATGTGCACTTTCCACCTTCTATGCTTTTGTTGCAGATTAGATGTAACGACTGAATAATATTGGGTGGACTCCCGTCTGCAGGCCCCATGATGACCACAGTAAGACTCTTAATATACATCTGTTTTAAATATTTAAGGTAAAAAAAAAACAGCTTAAATTTGTCCTTAGAGACAAGTTAACCAACAGATGCAAATAGAGAGGTTAGAAGTTCACCATTCTTCTACAAAACACCCAGTGGAAGTGACTGTAAAGATGAAAAGGTTTGTTTCTCTAAGGAAGTAGTGGCAACGTCTTGCTACAACAACAGCTTTGTAATATCCGCTGCGTTCATCTGCGTGACACAAACAAGCGCATTGAAAACCACAAGCATTAAAAACCATGAGCACTTCCAGGCCAAGTGTCACTGTAAATGCAATCACAGAATCTGACTCACCTTCTACATAAATGCTGAAGGGAAGATGGAGAAAATCCTCCTTTCAAATGTTCACTGACATGAAGTCGTCATGGCAAATCAGTGTGTTGTCGGTGGACGTAATGTGGAATGTTGGAGGATGTTGAACTGATGCAGCCAAAACTTCACGTTTCAGAAAAAGCAGTGATAGAGATAACAATACAGCTGAAATGTGTGTGTTTTTTTTCTTTGCTGTTGCCTTACCAAGGCTCTATGCAAAAGGTAGAGCAGGTGGCTCTCATTCACTTTAATTTGCCCCAGGAGGCAAAGTCACAACAGCAAAGTGAGCTTGCTGGCTGTCATGTTAAATTTAGAGTGGTTTAGGAAGTGAGGTTTTACATAAAAGTTTAGTAAGACTAAATAAATTGTATTTATATCAGATAAAGATAGAGTATAATTGACTATTATATTAAAGATATAAAGGTATAACAGGTAAATCTATTAGTTAGAATACTGTCATTTTGTTACACACTCCTTAGCTGTGGGTGGTGGTAATGCACATTCAAGTTGTTTGCCAACTGCCATCAAACCTCACAAAGAAGAAAAAGTGAGAGCAAAAAACTTCAGCACAACAAAATGGCTGCAGATACAGGTCTGCATTTCTCTCAGTCAGAAATCTGCAGAAGTGTTAAATTTTTATCTTAACACTGATCAGTAGGTCATTAAAACTAATTTGCAACAGTTTTGATACAAACAATGTTCAATTTACTTAGACCTGGTTGAAATAAACTGTGTAATTCTATACTCAGATTCCCTAAAAATTAACAAAAATGTTGATAATGCTGATAAGTGTTAAAGAAAGGCTCTCTGTGTGTCTAAACTTTGGAGCTTTCTCTCGCCGGTTCTTTTCCTGAAAATAGATCACTCAAGACAAACTCTTTAACGCTTCATAGCTTATATGTATTAAATAGCCAGGAGACATGACAACAAATTCTGACAGAAATTGTAGTTTTACTTAGATCAGAGAAGTTGCTTAGAATTTACAGAAGTCAGCTGCTCCCCTCCAGGCTCACCTCTCAGGAAGTGGCCCTGATTAACAGTTAAAAAGGCATTTTATAAATCTCCAGTCTGCCACTTCATCACATCATTACATCATACACTTTAGCAGATGAGTAGACATCCATGGCTTATCAAAATATTACGCTTTGTTCTTGGCTGAAGGACGCCGCTCTCATTCCATTTCCAAATCTTTGCCACGTACAGAAGGAAGATTATAACTGTAAATCCAGAAAGAGGAACTGTCTTAATTGGATAAACCATTGTGGAAAACATCAGTTCTGACACACAATAGTTAGCTAATATTAAGCTGTTATAAAATCACACATCATCAATGATAATTATCCTAACATAAGTAAAGAAAAAAATTAAATTATCTGATTTAACAGAGTCAACAGTTGGAAAGGAATTTAAACATTTGTGACTAAGCACCAATATGGAAAACTGTATTATTTAGACCAGTGGCGCCTCCAGGGGGAGCCGGGCGGTAGTACAAATGAATTATTAAATCAATATTTTTACTGAATATTTGAATGCATTTCCTTTAAAAACGTGGAAAACCCGCACTTTTTTTCATTTTAATTTATAAATAACTATTAATACTACATATATTCCATAAAAATGTCTTGTTCCTATTGTAGAACCAGTCCTTATCAATCTTTTTTTGCTTTATTTTACCGTTATTTCAAATTACATTTTATAATCCAAATCATCCCATTACTTTGACAAAATATGAACTTGAGCTGCTAGTCTTTTATCTAAAAGGTTGTTTTATAATTGAATAATTTCCTATCAGAGATGTCAAAAGTACTTATGTTTACAACTTAAGTGTTTTAATCCCACTGTTTAAAAAAAACTTTTGTAGAAGATAGATTATTAATTAAAGCGTTTTACTCAAGTAAAAGTCTAAATGTACCAGTTTTAAAACCATTTAAAGTATAAAATTAAAATAATGCAGGAAAAAAGTAAAGACAGAAGCTTTAAGTCTTTTATTACAATACCCTATGAAAAGGATTTTTTTTTATTTTTATAAAATGCTGGATGAAAACTTCCTTATACTTAATTTTCTTATTTTTTTAACTAATGGCAGTACTGTCAAATTTAACTTGCCATTATCTTGAAAAACTTTATATTTTAATATGTGGTTATGTTGTGAACAACAAGTTTGTGAAATACTGATTCCAACTACAAATAAATGATTTATCTGGGTAAAGCAATTTATTTTGATGATCTTTTTAAAATACCAATAGGTCATAACGAAAATGAGCTTAAATGATACAAAACAAATGAGAGTATTTTTTAAATTTAAGAAGTAGAAAGTAGAATTAACTGCAAAACAGTGTAGGAAATAGAAGTACAAAGTTTACTAAAAATACTTAATCCAGTAAAGTATAGCTAGCCAAAATGTCTACTTAAGTAAAGTATTTGTACTTTACTACTTGCTACATCTGTTTGATATTTTCATAATCTACATCAGTATCAGATGAAAGTATGCAGGGAGAAAATGAGAACATGTAAACTTCATGCAGACCGAAAAAACCCAGGCTAGAAATTGAAACCAAGAACTTCATAATGCAATGCATCAGCGATAATGCAACTAGTGCTATACAAGTGGGTGAAAAAAGCTGATTTGTAAATACGATCTACAATGAAAATCTCACAGTACTACTCAAAGAAAGCATAATCATCAATACCGGAATGAATTAAAAAAAGCAAATTAAAATGCAAATGACTATGAAATAGAGAAAATACTTATGAAAGGAAAAAGTTGAATCATGTTGATCCAGGGCTTTTTGTGAGAAATGTTACATTACTCTGGATGAGAGGAAATAAAAGCCTGACTAATTAAGTAGTTCTGCTTTGGCACCAAGCTTAGATGATAAAGATCATCAGTAGCTGATTGAGCAAAAACACCTAACGATATCTCGGATTCAAGATGCTATTATTTTATGGCTTAATAGAAATAATTAAACAAAGTGAATAAATTTGTATTTAAAAGTCTGTTTAAAATGCAAATTTGTTGAAACTAAAGAATTCTTACCACTTAATATAAGGATGATGACATCATTACTAATATAGCAATCAGTGAGTATTTTTTATAATAATGAATATATTTATTAGCAATTGGATTTTTAATTTTGAGAAATCCTTCAGAGAAGATTAAGATTAGTGGCTTTTAATAATGTGTGCTACCTTCAGGTAATTGTTAATGCAAAGTTTGATGAAGAAAATTATAACAATTGTTTTAGAGGAAGTAAGTTAGACAAATGATGAGGAAGTGGTGCTGAGCAGGTACAAGTATGAATAATCCTTTATAAGAAAAAAAGGAGGGGATGGAAAACCTATTATATCACTTTCCACTTTCACAACCGCATTTATTTGTATGGTTATTAAAAATACATATCAAAAAATAAATCATGTAGGAGCAAATAAATCATGTCTTTAATGCTATATAGAAAAGGAAAATAGTTCATAATAAACAGATAATGTTCCAGAATATTCTTGAAAAACCTTGAAACAATAAAAAAAAGGTTCAAAATAATGTTTCTAAATCAGTTAATTATGCAAATGCTTGAAATGAACCATTTCAAAGTTTTAACCGATTTACAGGGGGAGCGGGGGACATAAGTAATACATGGAGAGCATACAAATATATATATACCGCACCTGTTTATTATCACTAAGACCTCCTTGGATTGATAAAATCCTTTTCAACATGGCAAAATAGGGTTTCTTGACTTTCAGTCAATAATTAAGGTTTAACTTTTTTGAAGCTTAAACTTTGGAAAGTTAAACTTACATAGAAGGGTAGTTCATTGGAATTTCCACTCCTACCAAATTGTTCAGGTTATACCAATGGTGGTCTGCTATAAAGTATCCCTGATGAATTTAGACAGAGAAACATTTTTTTTTTTTTTTTCCATCAAGCAGGAGGCATCAGCAACATAAGATACAAGAATAAAGGGGGAAAAAAGTGCTAATAACTGAGTATCTGATGTCCTACAGTCCCAAAACAATCATCTATCAATCTAAATTCCCAGAAACATCCCATTCATTGTATTTAACTCTCAACAACTAGACTAAATGAATGGATCAAGTATATTTTTATGCTATATGTTTATTTTATCAAGAAGCTTTTATAACTGTAAAACATATAGGAAATTCCAGTACATTTAGACTTAAAAAACACCAACATCAGTCCATATATGCAAGTTAAAATGGTGTTTAGACTCTTTATTCCTGTACAGCTGGTTAAGAACGCCTGTGGTCTTGTTGTGAATGATGTCCTTAGTAATTCATTGCTGCTCTGATCCATGGATGAAGTCAGGAACCACAACTTTTGGCTTTTTTTCTATCCATCCCTGCTGTCAGAGAAAAACAGAAAATACATGAGTGAACATGATTCTTTCTCACACAAAAAGGAATTCTGATGACGTAGATGACTGAATCTGAATTTATAAGAGACTCGATCTACCTTTTTATTCTCAGGCTGTGCTGCCATTGATCTCCCCCTGCTTGACTAAATGGACAATTGGATGAGTCACACACCCAGCAGAAGCATAATTAGATATGATTAAACCCTTTAACATTTTAATGAAATAACTTTAGTTTATTTTATATGTCAGAAATTATATTATCCTTGTAAAATATATCGAACTGTATTGATGTTTTAGTAAGTTTTCATATAGAAAATATCACGAATACAACAAAATCAGAGTTGTTATCATATGGAGCTTTTTGCTTAACTTTATGCAGATTACAGGATTATTCAGCTGTAAGTGATGATTAGCACCTTAATGTTTGGGTTATAATGACATCCCTGATTCTTTTAATATTGTTTTAATTCTTCCCTCTAAAAACATAATTTGATTCTGTGTATTATAAGAGTGAAGAGACACAACCTTTTCTTTTTTCATAGGAATCCATGTATGGGTATTAAAAAGCACACAATAAGAGTTTTAAAGCTGTGGGATATGGACCAGTTTTTTTTTTAATGGTTGCTGTAGGTAACATAGTTTAAAGAATGGATGGATTGTAAAATTCAGCTGTTTTTTTTCATGAAAGCTGTTGGATGTTTCTGGTCCAAATTAGCATTAAATTGATATTAAATTACTCAGTTTATACAAGGCACATAATATGTGTTCCATTTTTAGAAAATGACGTCAGCCAGAATCTCCAAGGCCAGCTGAGAGACACAGTCCCTCCCGCATGTCTGGGATCATCCTCTATGCCTCCTCCTGGTGGGACTTGCCTGAATCACCTCCCGAGGGAGGCGTCCAGGGGGTATCTGAAAAAGATGTCTGAGCCTCCTCAGCTGACTCCTTTCGATGTGGAGGAGAAGCAGCTCTACTCAGAGCCTCTTCCAAATGACCAAGCCCCTCCTTCTATCTCTAAGGAAGAACCCAGCCACCCTGCGGAGAAAGCTAATTTCAGCTGCTTGTATCCAGGATCTCTTTCCCTTTCTTTCTGTCATGATCCAAGTTTCCTGACCATATGGGTAGGAATGTAGACCGACCAGTGAACAGAGAGCTTTGCCTTTTGAGTCAGCTCCTCACCACAACTTCACTCCCTTCTCCCCTCACTCCTGAACATGACTCCAAATACTTGAACTCCTCCACTTGAGGTAGGAACTCTCCTGCAACCTTGGAGGAGCTGATTCTCATCCCAGTCGCTTCACACTCGGCTGCAAACCACCCCAGTGCATGTTCTAGTTCTTGGCAGGAGGGAGCCAGCAGAACCACTTCATCCGCAAAAAGCAGGGACGAGATCCGCCGGCAAATTGTTTTTTCTGAAAATTAAACATTTCTGTCTTTCACAGCCATGTGTTTCTGTTCATAGCTGAAAGCCGATAACATGTACATTTAGGAGAGGCTTTCCTGTGTGTTTTCCAGTTACTCATATCATATTCTTTATAGTAAAGCTTTTAAATTATCATTAAAAACTGTTACCAGAATATTAACCTTAGTTCATTATTACAGTGTTTCATTTTTTGCAGTAGTTAATTAACAGAGTTGTTTCATCAGCAGTAATCATTGGCCAACATCTTTGTTAGCAAAGCCTGAGAAAGGAACAATGTGATGTTTTAATTGTTAGTATAATGGAAAGCTCTGTGATAACATCCTTAAGCTTTCTCTCCCTCATTATTTCCTTAGAAAATTAAAACTGCAATAATTTTAGGAAGTATAATAACAGGCAGAGTGAACCACTTAAACTTACATTTTATCCAGCAGTAGTAGCCAAAAAGACTGATTAAGATGAGGGCAGCAACACCACCACTGCTGTAGATCAGTAACTGCATCGCTGGGCTTAATGTACCTGCACAAGAAGATGAGGTTTCATAAATACAGGTTTTTAATTTGACTTTTAGATGTCCCTTGAGTTCTGTCACAATATAAAATAATATATGCATCTGCACAGGCTGTATTGACAAAAGCAAGAAACAGGAAGGTTACATACTTTTGCCTCCAAGCAACTCCACTCGCAAACAGTTACTCCTCTGCTTGCAGCAGTAAGACCCCAGATCGGAGCTTTTAAGCTCATCGATGACAGTAGAGTAGTTCCCATCTAAGGCTTGGTTTGGAAACGCTTTAACTCGGCCAGATCTTGGGTTTTGAAAATCAACACGTCCTTCAGAAGAAAGACGAACCATGTCTCCCTTCTCTAAGTGAACCCAGGTGACCCATTTAAAGGCACCGGTGTCAAAGTTGCATGGCAGGAGCACCGAAGAACCGAGTGTTGCTGGGATTTGGTATGTTTCACAAAAATCTTTACCACAAGTTTCCTCAGAAAACTGCTCACCTAGAAACAAACCAATAATAAACACAATCATAGGGTCACTTTCCACTGATCAAATAAAGAAATGTATAAAGCCCTGAGAGGAACAGCATACCTTCATCTTCAAACAACTTCACCTCAAAACATTCATTGTTTTGCTTGCAGTAGTAAGATCCCATGTCAGAGTCTTTGAGCTCATCAATGATGATGCCATAGTTCATCTCTGAAAACTGGTTGGGAAAGATTTTCACTCTGCCGGATCTGGGGTCCAGGAAATTGATGAGGCCTTTAGATGAGAGGTCAACCAGCTCCACGCCTGCTTCATCTTTCTCATACTTGTGACTCCATTTGACCCAGTTGGAGCCATTTGATGAAATGGTGCATGGCAGGGACACAGAAGAGCCAAGTGGAGCCTTGACCTCAGTTCTGTTACACAGCTCTCTCCCTGAAGAAACCAAAACATTTCATTAAATAAACAAATAAAATGCATGAAAAGTAGAAAATTTCGTTTTTGTATGCAATGATAAATTACATTCCTATAGAGAAAAAACAAAAACATTTTCTTAAATAGATTTCCTTTCACAGTTGTTAGGAGATTTTGGATTGTCACTTTTTTGCCAGTTCCTGTTTTTATCCCAGAAGTATTCTAGCACCAATTTCCCCTGACAGACTTTTCTGCAACAGACCAGAGAAGAACTGGAGCTTATGGAAGGGAGAAAAAAATTTATGGCAGGTTGTGCATGGTGGTTATCTTGGCCACCAGGACTTAAATGCACACTGTTGAAAATGACAAGCATTCTAAAATAATGAAAAGATTATTTTACTGTAACTTGTTGTAATTAGATTCCTCTGAAATACCCCAATGAATACCAATAAAAACTACAGTATCCTTGTATATTTTAGCATCTTTTCTTATTTTACAATAAAATTCCACAGTAAAAAATAATAATAAAATAATAAATATAAATAATATAATATCACCACCACAGTAAAAAATGCAAGGGTATTACAGCATTCAATAGTATCATTACAATGAAATAGTGTATATAAATACATAACAGAACTTGACGCTACTTGAAGGGAGTTTAAAGGAAGTTTCCTTCTTCCAGTCTGAAAGGAGAAGGTAAGCAACATGCATAACTGTGTGCAGAGCTACACTCATGTTATTTTAATATAATTATATTGACATTATTTTTAAATGAACATTTATCTCATGACACAGTTCATATTTTGTTAGAAAGTCCAAGACATTGCTGAAGCTTCTCTCACAGCATTTGCTGAAAGTATAGCTAGGGAGAGGCTGCATGCTGCAGTAGATTTAGGAGTTTGTTGTATATTGGTGTAAAGTCACCAAGCTTTAGCACCTACAGACTATATTTCCCCATGTTAGTTAAAGCTATTAAAGTTAATAGGCCTTAGATGTCATTACTTGGCTAATGATCACTAAAATTGTATATTGAAAATTTATTTGGAAGACCAAACAAGTTTGGATTAAAATGCTATGAGTTTGATATGGGAACAGGCACAGGTAAACACTTGATAAATGCTGCCTGCAATAAATATGTCTATTTAAAAGTGAAACTATCTTTTCTCAGCAACAGGTGCTTCCCAGACATAAATCATGAAAGAGGTTTTGAAGAAAAAGAAGTGGACAACAATAAACCTTCATCTAAGCATCGTCATTATGAAACTCTGGCTTTGAGTAGGCATCATAGTTTTTTACAGCAGCAGTAGTTTTCAGAGGTTTGAGTAGCATAGTCCTTTTTGTACTTTTTACAGACAACTTAAAATTTTTAACACAACGCTATAGGGGGTGGGGAGTAACTGTATAATTCTAATGTAAAATTTCAGCCATAATTTTTTCCAACTGAATAAAAATAAAACTGAGGTAATAATCTTCAGACCAGAGGAGAAGAGTTTCAGAGTTAGGTCGATGCTTCAGATAATACACCATGAAACCACTGATTATGGTTGAAATCTTGGTGTCACGATAGACTCAGACCTAAACCTTCACAGGCCCATAAAGGCAGTTACTAAGTCAGCCCTTTACCACCTGAAGAGCATCTTCAGGATTAAATGACTAATGTCCAAGCGGCATCTAGAGAAACTCATCAGGCATTTATCCATCCATTTTCAGACACGCTTAATCCCATGTAAGGTCACGAGGGGTTCTGGTGCCTATCTCCAGCTGTCTACGGGCTAGAGCCAGGGTACATCCCGGACAGGTCGCCAGTCCATCGCAGGGCAACACAGAGACAAACAGGACAAACAACCATTTACACACACACTCACACCTAAGGAGAATTTAAAGAAGCCAATTAACCTAACAGTCATGTTTTGGGACTGTGGGAGGAAGCCAGAGTACCCGTAGTGAATCATGCATTTATCTTTAGTAGAACTGATAACTGCAACAGTGTCCTCACAGGTTTGCGTAAAAAGTCCATCAGACAGCTGCAGCTGACCGAAAACGCTGCCGCCCGTGTTCACACTAGAACTAAGAAAGTAGAACCGGTTCTGAAGTCCTTTCACTGACTCCCTGTAGCTCAGAGAATAGACTTTAAAATCCTTACTGTTATGCAATTATTCCAGCAGATTGTGAATATATTAAATCACTAGAACTGGCAATTAAAATCAAGGGTAAGGCCAATTAATGATTATTACTTAGATGAGTAGAACTGAAAACTACTTATTCACCAAGGTTCTTTAGTTTTTTATCCAAGGAGGGATTTCTGGACCAGTAGTTTTTCACCAATTGAATAATTTGAACTATGGTTGATCATCAATAAAAGGAAATTGTCTCTGTTCTTTCCAGTGTTAACCAAACAGGGTGGATCTGGGTCTGAGTGCAACAACCACAAGCACATTTGTACTGAAGCGTAAATGCCTTACCTTCCGTATTTTCATAGTAAATATATAGATTTGTGGCTGCATGGTTGCACAGTTAATAGCACTGTTGCCTTGCACCAATAAGGTCCTGGATTCGACTCCTGGCCCAGCTTCGAAGCTTGCATTTTCTCTCTTTATAAAATATGCATTCTAAGAAACATGATTGTTAGGTCACTAAATTGTGCGCATAGTTGTGTTGTCCCTGTGTGTAGTGTACACCCTCACTTTCAATATTGAGAAAAGATGAAAAGATGTGTTTGCATTACTTTCACTTTTCATGTTGTAAATAACTGTCAACTAGTACTTTTACATTAGACTACATGTTCTTATTGCAATGATGTATATCAAAATGCTGTAATTCCCCAGTAATGTATTGTAGTGAATCATAATATTACTATAATTGCGTCATTGATCACAGCATATCACTGTAATCTTTAGTGTGAAGTCATGCAATTCTTATCCAGTTATTTGTTGTAAAGTCACAGTTATAACTTTTACAGTGTGCAGTAAGTAGAAAAAAATGGTGGCAAGGTAATGTGCAGAGTTGCTGCTCTAAAAATAAATCTAACACCTGCAGCAGGGGCCGCAAAGATCAACCAGATGAAGATAGCTGATCTATGCAAGCTGTGAATAATTTTGTCTGCCTCATTGTTATTTGTGTAAATAGTCATATAAATACAAATATTCTGGCTTTTATTTTGAAGTTTTAATGACTTTTAACATCTAGTTTGTTTTATTTTACTTTATTTGCTAGTAATTGAATACCATTTATTAGACATATTTTGGGGGTATGGTGCTGGGATTTAGTTCCTGCAATAAAGAAGATTATTGATTTCTAATATTTTTGTTAGATTTATCATTCATGGTTATTTACAATTTACCCTCATATAAATGTTATAGTACAATGATGGTTAGGTCTTAGTGTTAGGTACAAGTAAAAAATCAAATCATGTTTAAACTAGGATTTTAAAACAGGACTTACCTTTTGAAGAGACATTTATAAGCCAGAGGGCAGAAAGGAGAATGTACTTGCAAGTCTTCATCGTCAGTATTTCACTCTGTGCTAACAGCAGCAAGCTGAGGCTGTTTCTACTTCCCTAAGCATCATGGGACAAAACCACAAAACCACTGCAGCTTGTGTTAGCCTAATTGATAGTGCAGCAGACCATAAAATTTTACATTTCGAAGACTAAACAGAGCAGGTAGTGTAGTGCAATACTTAACCAAAGTCACAATAACTGCCATAAATGCTGTTGAAGCTTGATGACATTTCCTGAACACGCAGAGTCATGAGAAGACAGAGATGCACAAATGCACATGGTGATTTTCAGATAAATTCACCTAACAAGTCCTGCTGTGGCCCAGCTTTGACAGCACAAAAAAGATGCACCATGGACAAGTAATTCATACATGCAAAAAGAAATCAATTCCTAAGATAAAGTCCTTTAGTTTTGTGATTTATTTCTCCTTAAGCAAACAGAAAAGGACAAACATTTCATCCGTGAAAACCAGAAGTGGCTGTGATTCCAATATGGCTGAAAGGCAGGAAGAATAATAAACTTTTGGGAACACATACAAGCAGAGAGATTAGTTTGACATTATGACAGCAAGTAGAGATTGAGGCAGGTACATAAAGGCAGTACAAAGACTAGGGGATAATTGGCGGCAGCAGCTGGAACTAGTTATGGTGCTGACTGGTGGCAGGGGATTGACTAAAGGAGAATACACCATGGAGTGGGAGTAATTAGTCCAAAAACAAAACAAACAAAAAAATAAAAAATAGCCAAAGGATGACAATGAAGGATTGACCAAAATACTATTTCTGTCTATATATGTAAATATAGCCATAGCAAAGCGATAGGCTACAAATAAAACTAAACTGACAACAAGCTTTATTATAAATATGTACAGTAACCTACTGACCTACTGTAGTGTCGATAGCACAGCATCATGCCTTCTGCTTATGTTTGACCTGTGTACTTGCTTCTCGCTACTTAAGGACCTTAATTTTTATGTTTTGAATATCACAAAATAAAAAAAAATTATATTAAAAAATATATTTTTTCTTAAAATCAATTACAGAATAATATATAAATTTACTGTAAAAAAAAAAAAAAAAAGGTCGTAAAAAGGCTTATGTACTGAGTACTAGTTCAGAGATGAAAAAAATTCAAAAATTACAGATTTATGCAGAACGCTTCTAGAAACGCATCTAATGTATGTTATATAATCCCTATTATGTTATTTATTGTCTGTTATGTGTGCCATTTATTAAATTGGACATTTTATTGAGATTTATCTCTGTTATTGCATGCCAGTACTTCATCCCTATCCCTTACCAGTATTCTATAGTGAGAGAACAAAATATGCTCTTAATTCTTTATTTATTACTTCTTCCAGTGATTAGATTTTAGCTTCTTATTACTGGGCTGGTAATACATTTTCTGACCTCATCCTCAGTCAATACTGAAAAGAAATGTGCCACTCAGTGAGTATATAAGATTTTTATTAGTTAAAAGTCACTAAAACATCTCACTCCTTGAGTCTAATTCTCAAACATGAAACTAAAATGAACAGATCAAGAATCTATGCTGTAGTTATGTTCTTTTGTCAAAATGCTTTTATAAATGTAGAGAAATGCATTTCACTTAGTTAAAAAAACAACAGGATCAGTTAATGTGTGCAGGTTAATACAGTGTTTAGACTCTTTAATCCTTTTCTGATAGTTAAGATGTTCTGTGCTCCTGCTGTGAATTGCTGATCTGATCCACAGATGATGTCAGAATTCACAGTCTTTAGCTTTCCTCCTTCTCATCCCTGTTGGGTAGACAGAGGAACAATGATTAATAAATGCTAGAACAATATTCTTTCTCACACATTATGAGTTCTGATTATATAGATGATTAAATATGATATTATTCGAAGACCAGGCTACCTCTTTTGTTCTCTGCCTGTGCTCCCATGGATCTCCTGTTTCACTGTATAGGAAATTAGATTAATAACACAGTTAACAGATTCAAGAGGAGGAAATATGATTACAACTCTTAACAATTTTAAAGAATTTTTCTAATGTAGAATTTAGATTATATCTTTTACATATTATATCTATATTTCATAATGATCTAACAGTGATAAGAGGAAGATGACTCCAACATGCAGTCAGTGCTAAATTTGAGAATAACTTCAAAGAGTTCTGATGGATAACTTCTTCATTAACAAGCAGTCCTTTAGAATTTCAAATATCTATTGTTTTCAATGAGAAATTCTCACACCTTCATCATTTTTAAAGAGTTTTAGATAATTCTCCTATATCAAAACAATAAAAACATAAAAACTCAGAATTAGACATGCTTTGGAATGTCTTAATACTTTTGTTTTCATTTTCTTCTAGCATTTGGATCCAGTTAGACATATTCTCCCGTAGATTTTCTTGTACATTCTAATTGTATTTTTCCTCATTTAAGATATGTTTTATACCCAACTAATATTTTTCATTTGAATTTTACTTGTTTATTGAGAAAACAAGGTTAAAGAAGTGAGCTCCAATGGCTGTGCTGAAAGGAACACTTGCTTTCAGGTGTAATTATTAAGATAAATCATGTTTTACAGTCTATGTGAATACTAAAGGATTTCTTGTTTCATTTTTAAGATAAATCTTTTTTACAGTAACATTAGAAAAGAAGGGATCGCTCCTCTCACTTTCGGTTTCTCTGTTACAGTTCTGGGCACAAGTACTGTTCCAATTATCCACATTTTGTAAAGTTGCAACCTGGGCACTCAAACTCCTAAATGCACTTCATCCATTTACACACTTCATAGAGGGGCTTAGGGTTTAGTGTTAGTACTGGGACTGGGCCATACTCCTTCCCTTTAGCAAATCTTTGCTGGTTTGCTTTCATTTCCACCAGTATGTTCCCTCTGGTGGGGTTTCCCTTTCTGTTGTGCCTTGCCTGCTCCTGGATTTATGCTTTTGTACCGCCACCTTCAATAAATCTACACCTACACTCTGCATCCGCCTCTGCATTTGGATCCTCCAACAAACTCCACAAACACTGACAATACTGTTGTTGTTTGCCAAAAGTATTTTCCTCTATTCTCATAACATTTATCAACAGCTCTTTTTATAATTCCAGATCATATATTTAAAAAAATGTATTTATGTCTGTGTGTTTGTCCATATGTAAAGTACACTACCTAAGCAGATTGTAACAATACTTAGCAAACAATCTTAAAATCTGATTATAGCCATGTTATTGTCCGTTCATACATATGCAGATAAACAGATAAAATTAGAGGCTGTGCTTTTCTCTAACTTTTTTCATAAAAATTTATTTTTGTATCCTTGCAGTCATTGCATTGGTTAAAAAACTGAGATCTCAAAGTATGCATGTTTAGAAGATCCTTTTCTCCATAGAGTTTGCCATTTTTTAATCTCTAGATTTAAACTATCATTTAAGAAAACTTTGATCAGAATTATTAAAATTTTTTTTTATAACGTCTGTATATGGTTGATTTTTATACTGAAACAATGCATACCTTGAGTTGTTTCATTAACAGTTATCAGTGCACCTCTTTTGTTGTGAAGATCTGAGAAAGAAGCATAAAGTGATGTTTTAGAAATCAACATCCCTCATTTTCAACATTGAAACTGTAAAAACTTTAATTATAAATTATGTTACAGGCAGGATTATCTACTTACACACACATTCAAACCAGCAGAGGGAGCCAACAAGGCAGAGGAGGATGAAGCCAGCAACACCTGCACTGATGTAGCATGGTTGTATCGCTGTATTACCTGCAAAAAAGATGTGGTTTTATAAAGATTTGTTGAACATTAATTTGACATTTGTCCTTTATTTGACCACTGAGGTCTGTGACAATAAAAATTAAATAAATGTGTCAGTAAACAAGTCAAGCTGACAAAAAACATACTTTCAGTTCCACTGGCAAATAGTTTCTCCTCAGCTTGCAGCATTAAGAACCCAAATGAGCTGTATTTTGGGGGCCCCAACTCAAGCCCACATTTACCAACTTGAGCACACAGTGAGACTGGTCTGCAGTGATGAAATATTACACACTATCCCTTAATATAGTGTTTAGTATTGTACCAGCTGCACACAAGGGATATGTGAAGTAGAAACTATGAACCCAGAGTGAGAGGGTAATGACAAAGAAAATAACATCAAAATAATGAAAAAAATGTTTTGAAACATTGGAATCTATCTGAAAATGTTTTAATGACCATTTCTCTCTTATCTTATGGTTACACTGCTCTTACTAAAGTTTTTCTAGGACTGCCTCTATCAAATTATAGCAGATTATCAAGTAATAAGACTTTTCAAAAAATTTACATTTGACAATTGATTATTTAATGATGTGTAATCTATGGATATATCCCAGGTTTTACAAATTTCTAGCTAAATATTCTCTTTCTTTTTGTTGGGATCCTGAGGATTGCCCACCAGAGGGCGCCGAGGATCCTCTTCTGCTTTTTGTTTTCTTTTAGGGACTGGGTTACTGTTGGGATCTGGGGGTGTACCACCTTCCACCAGCAGAGTGCGCCGTGGGTCTCCTGGGCTGGAGCCCTCCAGCACACCTGAGACACATCTACTCATCAGGAGACCTTCCCTTCATAAGCAGCTGCCAGACCTTCCTTCAACGCCGCAGTGTTGACCTTAGTTTGGTTAGCAACCTGAGCCTCTGTTACCTGAAAGAATCTAAGTTGTCTCTAAGTGAGAAAACTGATTCTAATCCTCCTCTGTCTTTGCTCACAGGAAACCTGTCTCAAGCCTGAAGCTCTGGGTGAGCTTAACCTGCCTTCCAGCCCTGGTGAGCCAAACCTGAAGATTCCTATTTGGATTTCCCCTGCTGCTCTCTGTGAAGAGCTGGAAACTCTGATCAAGGTCTGCCATTCAAAGTCAGAAGCTAGATGCTGCAGCTGCTTGTGTACTCTGCTGAACCTACAGTCTTTGGACCCAACGGTTCCCTCTCTCACAAGAGAAGCCTGGACTTCGTCAAGGTAGACTCAGAATTATCTTAAAGGACTCATTAATCATCTGTCTGCCCAGCTAATCAAGCTATCCATCTCTGCAGA